TTTGGTCTGGAGCCTGTCAAAAGTAGGAATTTTTTTATTTTCTCTCTCTCCATAATTTTCTTGCTCTCCTCTGGGTGTGCATGCATAAGGGAAAAAGAGGCAACACCAAACACACCTAAAACTTTTGAGTCAGACTTTCATCTGTGCAGAATTAAGGAAGGTGAAAAAGATCAAGATTGCCCCACAAGAAGACAACAAAAAAAAAAAGGAGTGTGCATTCTGTGGAAAGCACCACAAACTTTAGGAGATGCCAGGAGGAAGAGGGGGTGGAACAGTGAACTAACATGTCTGGATTGCTAAGAGGTTAAAAAAAATGTCACACTTTCAAAGCAGAAAAAGACAAAAGACATTAAGAGTAAACAGGAAATTTGGGAAATCTATTTCACTCAAAGTAGCAAACATCTGGAATAAATTGTCAAGAATTTAAGACCATCAAAGCAAAGTATTAATGAGGTTAAGAGGCAGCGAGGCTGGAGGAGGAGACTGAGGAACACAGGGACAAAGGAAAGAGGTGGAGCTGAAAGGAACCTGGAGGCAACAGCCTCTGTAGCCAAAGGGCTTTGTTCTCCCTCTGCCCAATGCTTCCTTATCTTCTCATTGCTCTAGGGGTAAAATACAGGGGGGGGTTTACTGGATTTTGCTTTATGGAACAGAAAAAAAATTTCCCCCCCACAAGAATTCCATGCTGGGATCCATGACATGGTACATCATTGTTGAGCCTCCCAATGTTTAACTCCGAAAGGTTAAAGAAAACCAAACCCATGCTACCCCTTCCACCAAGCACAGCTTTCTGAAATCTGAGTTCTCCATCCCTCCCCTTCACACTTCAAATTAAGAATAATTCTTACTTTTGTTTCCAAATGTTGCTTAAAGATGAAAAACACCATCCCCTTAATAAAGGGATTTAGCAAACATCTCCATGGGTTGAAGAACTGTCTTTTAAAACTTTTTTGGTTTAAAGTAACTCAAACCAGGCTAAACAACACCTTTAAAGATGACAAAACCCAGTAGGCATAAATGAATAAGGAGTCTAAGAAGGAAATACTTAGCATGACTTATCCTTTAATATCCAGATCCCTCTCCAGTAGGGATAATCAGAAAGCTCTGTTGGCCCTTACTCAAAAGAAGGGAATGGTCTTCCATGTCTGCCTGGACTGCTATTAACTATATTGGTTACATTCATGGTCATTAACATCCTTTAAAAGATGATCTTGGGATTTCATTTTCCACCTCCCGTTATTGAGCAATGGAATATTTGTAAAACAGTAGAAGAAAAAAGAAATGAAAACCTCCAAGTTCCCAACCCTGCCAGTTAAATTACACTAAAGCAAGGATTCAACAGCAAATTGATTTGGGAGTGGCAGGATATATGCACACACATGAAAAAGCACACTGGGGGTTGATGGAGAACAATAAAACATGCACTTGCCTGTCCTCTGCTCTAATAACCACATGCAAACTTCAGCCAAGCCTGACAGAGTGGGAGAGCTTTCAAAGATATGGAGTTCCTGTGGGTTTCACAGTGCAGGCAGCTGGGTGAAGGACAAAGATGCACTCAAGGGCTCCACCAAATTCAAGTGTTTATGAGACACAAGAGAATCCACCCCAGCCTTCATTGTGGTCTCATAGCACAGGGCCCTCCTGCTGTTTGCTATCAGCCAGGCACCCACATCTGAGGAGAAAATGTTTTATTGGGAACATCTGCTCCTGTCTTGGTGAGAGCAGCTGAAGCTGTGCCTCAGCCTCTTCTCCATCAGCTGCTCCCAAACCCATTCCTGCCCACAGGGAGCCAGCAGGGCTGGTGGGAGTCACAGGGAAGGCTGAGGGGCACTTCCTCAGAGCCCCCCATGCTCCCACACAGTGCTGGGGCTTTATTTTTAACCCAAAGTTCAAGAAATATGCCTTGGTACTTGCACAGAGCACTGAGTGATGCCATAGGAGTTTTGAATGGCTGGACACATTCAACATTCCCCAGTTATTTGGTGAATTTAGCCACCAACACAGTGGTCATGACAGGAGGGGTGACCTCTTCAAGGAAGTAGTTCAGAGGTCTGAAGTAGCCTCTGGTCTGTCCCTCACTATGCTGAATGCAATAAAAAGCACCAAAAATCCTGTTCCTCACATCAGCCCTCCCACAAAATGCCACCAACACCCACAGCAGTTAAACTGGCCCAGGCCTCTTCTTTTTCCTCCCAGTCCTAACATGGAAAACCAACGACAGCAGGGCTTTGAGGAGCTCTGCTCCATTTTTTGCACTGTGTTACCTGGAGATTTAAACATGACTAAAGGGATCCATCTAAAATAAAAACGATTTTTTTTCTTTTCTTTCTTCAGCCAGGTACACAGCCAGGCAGCCTGGAGAGGCCCTGCCATGAGGGCACACTGCCCAGCACCCCAGGCCTTCACCCATCCCAGCAGGCACAAAATAAGGAGATCTCTAGCAGTAAAAGCAGGTGGTTGTTTTTCCAGGGCCTTTAATGAGTGTTGTAGTGGCTGGAAAAGGTGATAAGCTTTCTGTGTTATATGAAAAGCCAGGGGGTTACTTTATATAATCAGCCACAGCTGACTAAACAGGGCACTGAAAGTCACTCACAGCCAAGGGAAGACAAAACAACAAAACCCCCACAACCTTTCCATCCCTCCTCCCCAAAGAGCCCATTCCCCAGGCACAATCCCTGGGCTGTTCCAAGGCCTCCAACCCCCTAATTAAAATCCTCCTTGGAAAAAAACCAGCAGTTTACCTTGGCATGCCAAGGGCTCAGCCCCACCTGGGCAGGACATGGAGCAGCCCTGGGATGAGCCCTCCTCATCCTCTCTGGCAGCTCCTTGGCATTAACAGCCCCCTGTTAATTAACCTGTGGGGCTGGAGCAGCTCCAGCTGTGGGACAGCTCCTGCTGCATCCCGTTGTTTTATCTCCCAAGGTACAGAAACACTGGGGCCAATAAAGAGGTTTCAAACAGGTTGCATTAAAAACTTGCCAGTTGTCTTCAGCAGCAGCTCAAAGGCATTACAGCATTTAACAAATCAGGATTTGAATTTGGCGAACCTGAAACTATTTCACATGGACTCATGAGGCTGCAGTTTAATGTAAAAATGCAGTGGAAAAGCTCACATTGACCTCAGGGAGAGGGGCTCTGGCTAGAGCCCCCAGCTGGTGGCTGTAGCTCAGTGTGGGAAGGTAAAACCTGGTGGCATTTGGTGCCACAGCAGAGAGGACACTGAGGGGGGAGGTCACTGCCAGCAGCCAGGCTATGACAGCCTTGGGGTCTGCCCACACTGCACATAAGTGTTTCACCTTGGAACAAAACTGGATTTTTCCACCTTTTCCAGGGCAGTAACACACTGTATTTCAGCATTACCTGTTTGTCCAAAGCTGGGTGAACTGTAACACCAATTTAAAAAGAATTCACTGATATTTCCATAAGGCTTTTTGCAATTCCAGACAAAATATGGATACTTGTACTGCTTCAGCACTTGGTTCACACCAGGATTATTTTTCCAAGCATTAAGTTCTGTCACAGCCTTTGCACTCAGCCTGGTTGGGGAGGGGCATGATCCTTGCTGAAACTGGCTAATGCCTGTTCTGCAATAAAACAAAACCAACAAGCCAGCCCTTTCTGGCTGGTATTTAATCTGCATCCTTTTTACATTGATAGCTTAAAGGGCCTGGCTTACCAGGAAATTCATGGAGATTTATCTCTTTCTGGCCTGTTAGAGGAAGCCTCTCCCCATCCCACCCTACTCTCTGGTCATGAACTTTCTACTCATCACAGCTGTGGTGGTACCTGCAGCTTCCAAACCTTAAAGGGACAAGGCTGTTTGGATCTCCCCTCACTTTAATAAGTCCTCTTACCCCAGGAAAGGGCAGCTGCTGTCTTTTAATCATTATTAAAAAAATTCCTGCCTGGCCTGGCATCTGAGCTCTGTATTCCTGCTGAAGCAGCTGACCAAACACAAGCTTGCTCGTATATTTTGCAAAAAAAATTTATGTTCCTCAGGTCAACGGGCACATTAAGCAATTATTTAAACTGAAAGGTACAGTAACAAATGGCAGCAGTTCACCAGATAAGGACTCAAGGAGGTATTGCCATGCTTGACCCTAAATACCTGAGTTAGCATTCCTGGGCTCCTGCCTTACAACCACTGGGGACGGACAGATGCTTGCAGGGGCTGAATCAGAGGAGAGAGGAGCTTAAATGCCACAAAATCCCTGTTCAAGGACCTCTCTCCCTTCAGCCTCAGAAGTCCTGCAGAGAGGAGGCACCTTAAATATCCACCACATCCAAGTGTCCAAAGTGAACTCAATACCTGTGAGAATCCCCCAGGTTCCATAACCCTGATAAAACTTCCCAGGTCTGTATGTTTTTCAAATACTGTGCCCATGTCTCCTTCAAGGATCCAGGTTCTGGCTCCTTCCTCTTTCCCAAGCCTTGAGTTTGGGAAAGGGCTCCACAGCAGGGAAGGGCCCTCAGACGCTGCAGCTAGACAGACAGTTCCGCACAGCACCAGCATCCCAAAGTGTACCTTCATCAGCTGGGAACTCCTGTCCCAGGTTCACAACCTGTGGGATTTGGAGATTTTCTGATACAAGCCATAGGCTCACCTCCAGAAATCCAAGTAGGTTTACTCTTACACATAACCCAGCTGGACTGAAATTGTTTTTTTTCCCCATTCACAGAAAAAGAATCCCTTCTCCTTAGGTAGTGTCATCTTATTGTAAAAGTTCCATACCTTCTTGGTGATTTCTCATGGTCATCTCCTCACAGCACTGACTCCTTCTTCTTCATAATACAACCAACAAACTCCATCTCCCTCCTCACCCAGCTAACCTCCTCTTTTGTAGCACTCTTCTTCTTATTGGACACAGCTGTGGCTTGTTAAGGGCAGGCCTGTTCTTAATCTTTGGTGATTAGTGATTAGCTGCAGCTCCTCAGGTGTGAGGTTGCCTTCTGCGCTATTCTCTTACATTCTGTCCCTCCACACTTGGGCACGAGCATTGTCACAGGCTGGCTTAGGGAGATGTGGCTCATGGACATCCTGCTGGTGACCACCTGGATTCAAACAGACTGAGGAGGAAATGAGGTGAGGCCCAAAGGTGCAGAACTTTGTAGCTGCAGGCAGGTTAAAGATCAGTGCCCCTGAGTAGAGTTAAAACATGTCCAATGTGAATTAGCATTGATAAAATCATTTCAAGATGACAAGGGAGAGGAAAAAGGAGGAGGATGAGACTGTCCCAGGGTCAGATACTGTTCAATATTAACATTTTGGAGGGTGAAATAGAGAACATACAAAAATTTTGGATGATGGGCCATAAGCTAAAGCAGTTTATGTGGAATTTGGAGGATTGGGATACAATCTAGAACAGCTTTAAATTAAAGGAGATAGAAAGCCAATGAGAAGGAATTAAAGATCAGGGCAGATTGTTACATGTTAGAAGAAAGTAAGATTCCAGGAGTAATGGTTAGTAATTGGTCAGGGTGTAGCTGCTTAGGAGGGAAGTGCAGCACAGATGGATCAGGTGTCACCCCAGAGCAGGGGCAGTGTCCCCTGGGCTGTGCTAACAGGGCTGGCACCAGTAACATCAGCATCTCAGGGCTTTGTAGTGGGAAAGCACCACAGGGGATTGTCCAGATCAAACCTCCTGCTCAGAGCAGCATCAGGATTCCCAGGGCCAGATTCAGATGGGTTTGGGATAACTCCAGCAATATTTGGGAGCTCCACAACAAATCTGGCCAAGCTGTTCTGATATCTGACCACGTTCACAATCCAAGAGTTTAAAGGGGCTTTCCTTATTCCAGCATGTCCATTGCCTCTCATCCTGTGCACGGACGCTGCTGGGAAGAACATGGATTTGTTGCACTCAGTCCCATCACCCCGGTCATTGATGAAAATGTTAAATGCTCTTGGCATTGCTTTCAAATAGAAAAAGGAGGCTCCAGACAAATCTACACCTCGTTAACATTTGTGAAAATTCAAGGTATGTCCTCAGATAACCCCTGCTGGCACATTACCAAGGTAACAGAGGCACAGGGAATCAGATCTGAGGAAGTTCTGGGATAGACAGAAGAAGCTACAGGGGGATCAGAAACAAGCAGTTATTAAGGAAGAGAGGTCTGGAATAAACTTCTACCCACATTGCCTAGAAACATTCATAACCTTCATTGCTGCTGAATCACAGAGGGGGGGATTGGTTTGTTTGGCTTTTTACAGACAACCAACCTCTGAAATAATTATTCCAATCTTGCTGGTGCTGGAATTTTGCGTCCAAGTTGGCATAGGATGTTTAAAAACAAAATATGCACAAATTTAAGGTAATCCTAAAGAGAGCAAGAAAAATTAGGAGTGGAGAAAAGATTACTGGGAGGAAAAGTTGGAAAAAGATTATTGAAAAAAAGAAAACTAAACAGGCTTCCACTGTGCTAACGTCATTACAGAGAGGATGCAAAGGATGAAATTGGCTTAATTTGCAGACAGAAAGATTTAGGTTAGGGGGAAAAAATGCATAAATCTAAGGCTAGCTTTGGACTTGAGGCTACCTACAAGGTTTAGGCAGGTCAGACAAACGTTTGTAACAACAATCCTGCCTCTAAGCAGAACAACAAACTGGGGGAACTCATGAGAACCTTTCTCTGCAATCTATTTCAAAGGCTGCTCTCCCCTCTCACAAGGTTTCAGAAAGGTTTAGGGGATTAAACTTGCAAGAGTTAATAAAATACATTATCAATTCTACCCTGCTTCTTTGTTTTTTCCCATCCAAATAGTAATTGTTTGTGAAAGGGCTGACACTGAAGAGCAACTGCCAGGGTTCATGCAAGTTCATTTCCCATCTGATCGTTTTAATGATGCTTGGTGAAAATCTGTTTTGTGGAATTAATCGTTGCTCTTTGTTCCCTTTGGTTATTTGAATCTGCATCCAAACCCCATGAGCACAGCCCTCTGTCCCCCTGTGAAAGTGGAGATTGAAATTAAATTGGGGTTGATACAGGCTTGTTTTGAATCTTGAATATTTTCATGATGTTTATCTGAACATTTGTCCTTCCCCTTTATAGAAGGGGAAGCATGACAACCCCAAATTGTCATCATGATGGTCCAAGGGACAACCAGATTGGTGGCATAGCCCAGTCCAAAGATCTCCTCAAGCAATCTGCAGCAGGCCCCTCAGCTGCACTGCCCTTGAAATGCCATCATTCTGGGGTAACAGACAGAAAAAAAAGTAAGAAATGGGTTTTGAACCAAGATAAAAGTGCAGCAACAAGGAAGGAGCAGAAGTGCAGAAAGCCTGAGGGCACACAGGGTCAGATGGCACCCGGGGCTCTGCACAGCCACAAACCACTTCAGAGGGTCTGCAGAGCTCTGGTGGTTGGGAGCACCCTGGTGGTGCTTCACTGCTTGGTGCTGCAGGGCATCACAGCTGCACCCTGGTTTGGTCCCACCAGGAACCAGAGGGAATTTGGACTGAATTCCAAGCAGGGCCTCTCTGGTTTAGCTTCCTCCAAAAAAGCTACTCAGGTTGCTCAAGGTAAGTAAAAGCAATCAAGTGATTTGCTTCAAAATTGCAATCCAAACTAAGCCTCTCCTTGTGGTAAAGCCTGGCTCAACCTAATCCATGCTCAGGTGGTCCTGCTTTCCATCCTGCCCGCTGCTCCCTGCTCCTGCCCCATCTGCAGGGGTGAGGGAGCCTCCAGCAGGGCAAGGTGAAGTGACCTCAGCAGGATCCAAACAAGGCAGAACTAAAGAGGGAGGGATGTCAGCCCCCAGAGTCCAGAAAGCAAATTTAGGGAGCAAAGAGGTTTCTTCTCAGCCAGCACCTGCTGTGTGTGTCTGAGCCCTAGGGCTGACTGGAGGGAGGGAGGGGAGAACGTGGAACTGCTCAGACCAGGCTCCCATCAGCCTCAGAAGTCACAGAAGCTGCATTGGAAGAAGTCATGCAACAGTTACAGATGAAAAAGAACTCATCAGAAACTGTGCTTTGATGGAAAAGTGTGACCTCATCTTTCAAGAGCATTATCCTCCAAGTTTTTGCCTACCAGCTTGCATGAGGAAAAGTAAATCTCTCTGGATTGAAGGCCAAAGGTAAGCCTGAGTGCTGTTTCATCTCCTCTTCAGCCTCATTTTGAAATCTTCACAGTGTAAAAACCATAAGCACTGTCTGACATCTGATGCCTGAGTGACTGCAGCTCAGTACTCACTTGGTGGGAAATGTGATTTTGTGGGGCTTATGCAAGGTAGCATTACACTTTGAACATGTGTTTGTGCCACAAAAGAGCATTTTACAGACCCATCTCTCAGAAAATTTCCAAATTAGGTCTGCAAATGAAACATCCATCCCCATGAGCAGCTCAGTCTTTTGCTGAGAGGAGCTGTCACTTGCTTGGGTCTGCAGAAAAGCCTAAAGCAGAAGTTTGTTCATAAATCACCTTTTTGATTGTGCCAACAGAAAATCCTCAACCTCCATGACCTCCCACTGCCAATCTACAACCCTATCCCATGGACAGTGGTCTTAGACTGTGAGGAAAAACATTCTGGGGAGAAAACCAGTGGTGAAAGCTGGGCTTGTCCAGGAAAGCTCAGGAGGTGGAAGGACAGGTCATGTGGCTTCTTGTATTGCAAAAAGGTTTCTGAGTCACCAAAGCCCAGTGAGGCTGCTCATGGTGTTGGGAGGAACAGCTCTGGGGGATTCTTCAGTTCTTACAGGAACAGGTGGCAAGAAGAGCTAAAGCCTTGTCCTCATCTTCAGCAAGATTCCTGCAGGAAAGGAGTGAGTTTTGCCCCAGCTGTGTCCACTGATGTATTTAAAAGAGATAATTCCTACTGGATAAAATTTGGAATGAACTTGTTATATTGGAAAAACAGTGTTGGTGCAGGAATGTTCACACAGCTTCTGCACGCAGGGGCAAGGGGAAGTTTATTGTATTAATTTTCTGTGTGCTGAGAGCCTTCTCAATCCAGTTGTTCTCTATTACTGAAGTGCACAGAGTGCAGGATTTTGCTGGAACAGCAGAAAATGCAGGTAGGGGTGAATGTCACATCCCTGAAGCATGCAGATGTTAGAGCTTTCTCATGGAATTTCTGCCCCTCTTGATGAGGGCAGAATTCAGCACATTGCCCTCAAGTTCTCTTCCTACAAAGCCTAAGAAGATGGAAACAGAAAATAAGTGTCTTGTTTCTTCCTCTCAATGTCTGTGGGACTGTGGCTCCAGCAGCACTGATGCACAAGGAAAGCATTTTCATGAGCTGTTAAAACAGCAGAAGCTTGTTTTCCTTTGGCTGCAGCATCCTCCTGCCTCCCACGCAGGAAGTGTTCATGCAATATTCCACATAGGCAGAATATGTCCTGTTCCTAGAAGTCTAAATACAAGAAACTGTAGGGCATTTAAAACCCAGGCTGCTCTTGGATTAGAAAAGTGAGAGGTAATCTGCTTTCATGGGCTGCAGTTCCCAAATTGCCCTCTTTGTCCCTAGACTTGATGATCTTTGGCAGAACACGTCCTTGCTGTGTGTGGCTCACTGAAACCCAAGGATGTCACCAAAGGTGTTACTGTTGTGTCATGGACAACCTCCTCCACATAATAAAGATATCTCTGAAGGTGGAAATTCATTATTCCTGCATTCTCAGTGCACCTAGGTGAACTTTACTATGAGAAAAACAGCCAATATTCCACTATTTCTGCTCTTTTGCACCAAAGCAAATGAGTCAAGTGGTTTCAGGAATTGGCCACATGACTGAGATGGGGAGGGCATATTGCATATTCACAAGAACTTCAGATTGTTTTATTTACACTTCCATTGCTAGGGGCTGTGGAATGGAACATAATTCTATTTGCCAGACACTCTTCCTGGTGCAATAAGCTAGAGGAATTCTCAATTAATACATGGAGCTTATGTATAAAAGACAAGAGGTTAAGTAAGACTGCAGTGCCCAATGGACCATCTGGTGAACATTAGGTTTGTCAATAAATCACAAAAGCACCAGTTCATCAAGAAAATTCCATTTCAAACCACTGACAGCAAAAAAAAAAAAAGATGGGGGAAACAATCCTCACAAAATTGGTATAAAAACAGGGACATTAAATAACTTTAATCTATTTTCAATTATTTTATTGGTTCTCTTCCAATGACCATGTGACTTTCACATCCTGGATGTTTGTACATGAGAGCATCATGAAATAACTGGGTGCATCACCTCAGGAGAAGCTCCTCTCTTTGCTCTCAGTCTTTCTCCTCACCATGGGTGATAACATAGCACAGGTTCTTATAGTCAAGGTTCCCAGAGACATCTGGAGGGAAAGCAGCAAACATCTGGTTGATCTGCCAAGCAAACAGAGAGAAGTGTCACAGACTGTGGGACAGCAACATGAACAGCTTTTCATTTTACACACAGTTCAGCTCCCTGCTGCCCTGGTCCTTTAACCACCAGGGAGAACTTTTCCTTGGGCTCAGTAAAGTTGAAACATAACTGGTTAACAAAGTCCTGCTAGAATCCCACAAGTTCCCTGCTGAAAAGAGCTTTCCCTGAAAACCAGGTAAAGCCTGGTTGATAAATGTCCACTCCAGTCTCTGTTCTGACTGGAACAGACTGTCCAGTCTGTTCTGTCCACAGACCAGCTCAATTCCATCTCCTCTTCTGAAAATGAAGTCCCCCTAAATTCCTCCCAACCAGCAGAATCCATGCTCAGTCTCACACAAACCACCAAGTCAGTACCTCATTTTGGATTTCAAACCGAGTAACTCACAGAAATGGAAACCAGAACACAGTCCCCACCCAAATCCACTTGGACTCCAGTAAATCAGTTGCCCAGCTGCCCTCCATGGGGAGGAGCAGCACGAGATAGGCCACACTTGCACTTGGATGGGAGTCCAAAGAATCAGTTTGACTTTGATTTGGCCATGGAGCTCTTTAGAAGAGATGCTTTGAATTGTTTCTAATTGCCAGAGCTGGCATGAACCTCCTCTCAGGCTGGATTTCAGCTAAATTCATGCATTTAAAGAGGGGCAAGGACTTAGTGCTGAACAGGAGCTGGATTCCTGGTTTGAATAAAGTTCCTTACCTCTTCTTGACTGAACCGGTCTGCCTGTGTCATGAGCATTTCTTTGATGCTGTTCAAATAAAACGAAATAACCTGATTAAAGGGTGATAATGGCACATGACAATTCAGATGGCAAGATCCCTCCTGAAGTTGCATGAAAGAAAATCTGTGTGACCGCATAAATTAGAGCTGCTAATCCTTACATGATATTGTAAGAGATTTTCTGTGGGCACCCATCAGTGTCAATGCCTCGCTCTGCCAACTTATTTCTCTTTTGTGACACTTTATAGAGGTTTAAAATTGTTTAAGGTTATTACTGTAATTGAAATACAGCAATTTTGTATGCTTATCTTAGCCTAAAATGTTAGGTTTCCTCACTTGCTGCTTAAAGTTTGGATCACTTAACAAAACCAAAAGAGGGAATATTTTCTGTAAAATCTGAGGATGAAAGGAACAGAGCATGAAATGAGAAAGAGGACTTGAAAGAGAACTCGAGCCTCTATTGCCAGTCATCACTGGAGAATGCTTTATTTGCATGCAGCCATTCCCAGAGGAGCTGTGGAGCTGCATGAGCCCTGCTGTATTTCACGGTGCCCTGTCTTGATCTGGAGTCACAGCGCTGGAACACGGAGCTTATCCCACACACAATCTGCATCCCGTGCAATTACATCAAAGAGAATCTTTTGGGGGCAGACTCTCAGCTGATTTACCCTCTGTTTTAAACCCATTGTGGGAAGGCAGTCGAGCATGTAATTTTTTTATTTTTTTTTTACCTAAGTTTAGAGGTGAATAGAAAAGCCAGGAAGAATTATTTTTGTTTCTAGTCTAACCCCTGTGCATAAAATATCTTTATACCTCCCCCAGTTTCTCATGTACTGAGGGCAGCACATGCACCATGTGCTGGGACATCCACCAGTATAAACTCACTTAGATTCACATAAACATCCCTTCAATAACACCAATAATTTCCTCTTCCTGTAGAAGAATTCCTATATTAATCTCACAGTTTGCATTCACGCTGAAGAGGCAGAGTTGTCTCCTTTTGTCGCTACCAAATGTATTTATACATTACCAGACACAGCTCTGGAGCAGTAAAACAAACTGTAAAGCTGTGATAACAGGTGAGCAGTATGTTGTACAAAAACAAAAGCTGAGGGAAATATAGAAATCTGGTTTGGTTTGTGGATTTGAAAAAAAAGCTGCTTTTTTCAAGAATTTGTTGTGGGGGGAGTGAGAGTGGCAGCTCTTCTAGAAGAAGTCTTTTCTGCTTTTTAAAGGGAATATTTAAAACTATTTATAATATAAATTTTAGAATATATAGAATATTTATAATAGAAATCATGCCTGAACAGGAACATTTGCAGGAGAGCAAAATTCACCCACCATGGGTGCAGATGTTCAGGCAAAACAATAAATCCTCCCTTTCTGCACATGAGAGAAGTCCCCCAGACAGAAGTGCAGTTTGGGTGGCAAAGCTACAATGGCACTCACAGCTCTGACAAATGTGATTTTTTTCCAGGAAAAGGCTACACATCCCAGTCTGTGGCAGGGGCACAGACACTTCTGCTGCTCTTGTTGGTATAAATGCACATTTGGAAGCCCAGAAAGGGAAAATTGAAAACAATGAAGAAGGACAAGTGTGAATATATCTGTGCAAGCTTTGGGAACACACAGAGCTTAAGCTATTTGGTATATTTTTCCTGCATCACTTCACCATTCTCTGTAGTTAGCTAAATTTCTTCATCCCTTTGTCTCAAGTTTCTGTTTCTGTTCTGTTCCTCTGGCCGTTTGGTATGTGACTGCATTTTTGAAGGCAAATTCTCAAATGATAGTGGCTGCAAGAGTAAAGAGATCACTCCTCTCAGCATAAATTATTGGATATATTGGATATATATGCATTATTGGATATATATGTCCTGGACAAACAGAATTAGCAAATGCAAATGGAAGTGTGATCCAGGAAGGAGCTTGGTGAATGGAGGGAAGCATTTACAGCAGTTTTGTCAGAAGTCACAAATAAACTTCATTGCAAACAAGCCTGAATTAAAAAGAGATCTGGGCACTGTGTGTCTTCTATTCACATGCTTAAAGTATTTAGGGGAAAAGAAAAGATCAAATATCTAATTATAATCTTCTGATGCACAGCCCAGTAGGCTCTGGCACACTCACAAGGAAGAAGGACTGACTAAAGGATCTATGCACATTTTCCATTATTTATTTTATAGGGAAACAAACACTCACCATTTCCAAAGCCAAAAATTATGCACTTTTTTGGTTTTCTATCTTGTTTTCTTTAGAAATCTTATATTCTTCTCAAAAAATAGCCCAAAAACCAAACCAAACCCCCCCTCAAAAAAAAAAAAAATCCATTTACCTTGACTTAGGAGTCTAAATGTTATCCCTTGTCCTGGCTCACATCAATTCCTTCTACATTTACAAATACCTTGTTGCATTCTGAAATTTTAAAAGCCTTTTTTAAAATTATCTATGAAATCTGTAGGACATTTTTTGTTTTTCTCTGGGTTTGCCTTTTCTACAGTGCTGTCTTGGAGGAAACCAGGTGAGTGGGAAGGAGCAGAGCTCCACAGCTATGGGGAGAATCATCTCCAGCTCAGCCAAACACCTCCAAAGCCCAGCATGCCTGGCACCTCTTCCATCCCCCTGGGTCCATTTGCATTTGGCCCAAATCTGAGGAGTTTCATTGGCCTCAGCATCAGGCACAGTTGGTGTTGGCCTGAGTCACTCTGCCCCACGAGTGGCATTTGGGGCTGAATCATCCAACCTTTCCAAACACTGCCCCAGTTTACACCAGCTGAGAATGGGACTGGGAGCTTTTTCTCTTTTTGACATCATGCTGTGGGAAGGGTTTTATGTGTGGTATAATGATGCAGACAAACAAAGTCTGTCATTGAATTTGGAAGTAAGTTATAAACTCCTGGAGCTTCTGGAAAGGTTAGAAGGCTCCATCCCAGCTACCATCACATGGACCAAGTGAGTCATTTCCAGACTAGAGGTGAAAACACGCAGAGGGAAGAGACATAAAAATCCCCAGAAGGATGTTAACTCCATGAACATAAAAATGAAGTTCTGATTAAAAGGTCAGCATGACTGGTTTTTGAGAGAAACATTCCAGGATTTTTTAATACGAAGAAGTATTATTTATTAGCATTAACTGTCGCATTGAAATGGCTGCATGAGCCAACAGAAAAATAATTTCAAAACTTCAAATGTCTACATTTTGGAAGCATATGAATAGAAGTTAAACCTCAAAGACATCCACAGAATTGATTTAATGGTTTGTTCTGTAATGATCAACATTACCCTCGGGTCTAATAAGTAAACATTATGCTCTGTTGTGGTGATGAACTAAAACAATTGTCTAATGTTAGCAGTGCAGTGGGGGTGGGGACACGATTGACCTTTTCCATCAAGGAAAAATTAAATATTTCTCTCTCATCTTCCTTTTGGAGTGTGATACTGCATTCCTAATTTGCCCCAAACTCCAACTGGCTTCCAGCATCCAAGGAATGTAGAGCTGAACACAGGGTGGCAAGCTGCAGATTTTGTATGCAGGATATTGTTACAGATAGTGGTGGGAAATATAACATTTCATGGGTTCTGGAGTATCAGAAGTTCGTATTTCATGGCTGTGATTTCACTACTGTGTGATCTGCCCTATTTGGTAAAAGGCTGCATTAATTCTGTTGTTTGAGTCATTCCTGATATGATCCCCTGACTGTTCTTCCCAAGCTCTTTGGGTGATGTTAACCTCAAAACCATCAGGACAGGTCTTAACCTTCTGTTCCTTCTGATTGATTGCTACATCCACTGGTGTTTAATTAATTTGGAAGTTCTCACTCAAAGGACTGTCTCTCTTATTTTGCATATTGCAGAAGTTCTCAGACCCACTGGGGTACTGCCATAGAAAACCACCTTTGTAAAGGAGAGAAATATTGTACATGAATCTTACATTTTCAACTAACTTTCATCAATTATTGCAGATAATGTCCTGGAAATCTCCACAGCGTTCTGGTCAGAGGCTATCACAACATAAGCAGCAATAATTGATGTAAATGCAGTTTTGTAACTCGTAGTTCCCTGATAGATTTCCTATACGTATCATGCTTTATAAAATCCATCTGAAATGGCTGCTGCAGTAGAAGTGCAGACACCAAATTCTCCAGGAAATTTCAGCATATGAGCAAATTTAAACATATGCATAAATCTGGGTACATAAACGACTTCTCTGGAGCAATAGGTCCAATATCTTCATCCCCTGTCCTGATTTGATATCATTTATCTCACTCACCTGAAAGTCCTGCTTGCACCATTCTGGCAGTGCAAGGAGGGTTTGCATTTGTGCAAATACCTCTTAAAGTCCTTTTACATTGCTTTGTTGGTGCAACAGGATATGAATACAAATGAAGTTCTGCCTCCTTATTTAAAAATAGCCATATTGACAATAATTGCCAGATTATTAATAGTATTATTTGGTTTGGCTCTCACTGTATCTAGTGGAATTTTACAGCAAATTATTTCTAGAAGCAGAAGGCTCAAATGATAAACACATAAAAAGGAAAACGTCCAGCACTAAAACCATGTCTCAGAGTTAATTAAATTGATCACTTTTTTAAAGAGGGGAGTAGCTTTCCCGTTTTAGTCAAGCACTGAGAGTTAGGCACCAGACATTCATTTTAATTTTACATATGGAGTTAATTTACAAAGAGTCATGTGTCGATTTATATCCAGACCTTCAAAAAGAGGCTATCTAATGGCCTACATGTGATTATATTTCCGTTGGCTCTTGCAATGTCTGAAGACAATAACATCTCTTTTTGGTATACAAATACATTCATACAACAGTCCAGACTTTTAACTCTGGCTTACAAAGCTAAATGTTTCTCTGCCTCTTAAAATACTGTGAAAAATGCAGCTTTTAAGCAGTTCTTTAAAACTCTGCAATTATTATTATTGTTGTTATTCTTCTAAAGGATTGGAAATAAACTTACTAGTCTGCCTTTATGCGGCCTTTTCCTTCTGGGTCGAAAATCTTAAAAGCATTCAGAATGGTTTCTTCTGGGTCCGTGCCTGAAATTAATGAAATATAATTTAGAAGCCTGGATGTATTTCTCTGGCTGCAGAATACTTGCTAAGTAATTACATTCGCTTGAAAACAGTGCAAAATGGAGAATTCTGCAGTTGTGGGTTTGAAGACAAAGGTTCCCTGAGTCGGCAGCATTTGTCATGTCAGATAAACAATAGAGGTGAATAGTTCAATGCTCAGAAGCTTAAAAATAATAACTCATATCTATTCTATGTCTGCAGGAGAGAAAACTTCCAGGAACTGGTCTCCAATATCAGTACCCAGAGGATTAGTGGCTTTCAGAAATGAAAATATAACAAACTGTTTCCCTCACTGGCTTCCTTTAATCTTGCACTGTACGTTCCTTGTAAAAACACTTTTTGATGTTACTTGTTCTTGGCCATATAGAGAAGAGGTTATTTCCCTCACTAAGGGAAATGGAGTTCATCATAAAATCCAAATGCCAATGGAATGCAATGGAAACAGGATGATCAATCTGAGATGGTGATCTGCACTTAAATCCCATTGTGCCCTTCCCCTTAAGTGTCTCTTCATTAAGTGTTACTTACAGAAACAGGATGGTTTAAAGAATTAGACTGTGGCTACAAGATTTTGCTTCTGCTCTTAGCTGGGGCACCGATTTTTGGTATGACTTTAATATCTCTGTCCTTCTGTTCCCAGCAGTAAAATTATTGTAATGGTCTTCCTTTTCTTCCTTCCATTATCTATCCCATCTCTTTAGACTGGAAAACATTTGTGTCAGGGACTCGTTTTCACAGTGTCTTAATCTTGGCTGGGGCTTCTGACTATTCTGTAACGCTGCAGATTCTGAGTAGACTCATTTTCAACCCACACCAAAGGACACACTGTGTACTCTGTTCCTGACTGTTCCCCAATATTTCAAAATATTCCTGTAGTATACACAATACAAATCTTTGTAACTGTAGGAAAGCAAATTTACAAGCAGATGAACTGATTCCATGGACAAAATGAAGCTATTTGGTATGCTGAAAGAGTGATTAAAAAAGGATACAACACAAAGGGGTTGAGGATTCAAAGTTTGTTTCAAAGTTTGGCAGAGGTAGAACCAGAACAGAACCCAGCCAAGGTTCCCTGCTCTACAGACTCTCCTGAAGCCTTCACAGTTTGCTTTGTTTGAAAGATTTCACAAGGATTAGCAGGATCCTGCAGGATAGAACAGTGAACACACCTCGGGCTATGTGGCCTCCTCCTTGCCACACAATGGCCATGTACATTATTTTTGCCAAGCTGTAGGCAGTGCATTCAAACTGCAATGAATCTGTGATCAATACAAAGAGCATTGGTGTTTAATGAGTGTTTGGATTGTCCCATGAAGAGAAACATCCCCCAGCTCCGAGGAGAAGGCTGCATTTTAAGTAGTCACCGCTGTGGGGGGGATTTTTTTTTCCTTACTGTGTTTTACATTTTCTACTCTGTCATATCCTTGGACTTTGGCTTTGAAGAGAAGCAATGCAGCAGGCATTCTTTATTGATTAGCTGGTAAATAAAGTGGTTTCTTTGATGTGCGGCATCTCTGTTTTCTGTACAAATTGTATTATTCTGACTCCCTGTAGAAGCAGCTCCATGTGGTTGGCATTAACATAAACCGAGTTTTGTTAGCTGTTCATCTGGCATCATAATCTCAACATACAAAGCTAAAGCTCATCCTGAAAATCCCAGCTTCCCCTTTATGACAGAAGTCAATTATAGCACAACAAATTTTACTTAGAAAGCACCTTTCACCAAATTCTCTGAGTGGTACTTAGCTAATAAAGAGTGTTGCAAAATTGCCATATCCACTTCCTCTAGCCCTTTCTCCCTTTCTAATTGCACTACAAAGGCTCTTCATCCCAATTAGTTTTGATTGGGAATGTGCAGTCTTTTGGCTCTGCTTCCTTTGCATGACAAACCCAACCAGAAGGGCATGACAAGCACAGCTGTGATTTTCCCTTCACCAAATGGAAATTAAAAAAACCCTCCTCCTTTGCTAGTAGCCAACAGGAAACCTGCAGACAACAGGGCTCTGCTTTGCCATTCACCTTCCTGTGCTGGCTCTGCTTTTAGGCCGCGGGATTGGCAGGACCAGAGGCTTTGCCAGCTCCAGCAAAGGGGAAGAGGGGAGAGGAGGAAGAGGGGAGAGGAGGAAGAGCTCGTTTCCATGCTCACAAATGGAATGGGCAGCAGGGCACCCCACAACAAGCTATATTCACATATCCCAGGAGGTAGAATATGGAGGAGGGCACTCCCTACTCTGCCAGGAGACACCTGGAATGTCCTGGTGGTGGCACCACACACAGGTTGATGTCTGGGCAGTAAAATCCTCTCCTCAGCCAGCCTTCTCCATCACCCCTCGTGCTTCCCAGACTTCCTGCCCTCTTTAGCAAGAGTGTCTTTCTTCCAGAACCAGCTACATTAATTCTTTCTTTCAGACCACTCTGTTTTCTATTCCAAGCATAGAAAACCCTTCATTGGAATTGTGTTTGGCAATACAAAGCCAGAGTCCATCAACCAAACAATAAATGTTTTTAAGAAGATAGGATTGGATTTTTCCATTTTTCTATTCATTAGTTATTTTTACAAACTCCTTTAATGTGCTTGGCTAAGGCCAGCCCTGCTTTGGAGGCTTTCACCTTTCTCTTATGCCTGTAGGAAGATGACTGGAGTTCTGTCTTGGCCTCACACCCCCTCTCTTGCAGTTTCCATCCATTAACTGGAGAGGAAACATGACTAAATTACCAGCTCACACAGCAAATTTGCTACTCATATTTCCTGAACTTCCCACAGTGTTCCCTATATATTCTGTGGCAATGGGTAAAATTCCTCTCCCTTATCATTGTGAATCCACTGAAATTTAATTATTTCAATTTATCCCCTCCATTAAGGGTTTTTCGGTGAATTCTTCACCTAATGCCAAAATCACCTCAAGTGACACTGAGGCTGGGCTACAGAGTTACAATTAATACAGAAAATGAGGAAAGCCCATATTTGCTTAATGTGACAAAAGTGCAAAAAGGCTGGGTTTTTCAAAAACAACTTAAAACCAGCTAACACAGGGAGTGCTATAACTAGAGCATGAGCATGAGTTCAGCCCAGGAGCCTTTGGATGGTGAATAACTCCCCTGCACTGTGCCCCAGGCTGCTGAGGTTTCATCACTTTCTGGACCCCAACTCAGCCCTTTCATGTTAGTTTATGTAAGCTAAATCACACCTTTGAATTGTCCTCTGCACCGTCCCTCAGCCTTTCATTCTTTCCCTCTGTCTGCAAAACTGGAGATCCCTCCTTGCCTCTAAGCACTGTTCTGTGGAGACATTATTGTAATTTGCAAGGTGCTGAGATATTTCAGTGCTGAGGATCTTTGACAGATACCTCTCCAATCCCCCAGAGGTACTTACCTTTCAGCTTTTCCCCAAACATAGTAAGGAAGACAGTGAAGTTAATGGGACCTGGCGCCTCCTTCACCATGTCTTCAAGCTCTTCATTCTTGACATTCAGACGACCTGCAGCAGAGATCATTTTTCATAATAAATCACAAATTGTGTTTCAAAAAACGATTCCCATTCATCTCCTCCCACTGGGGAGCTCAGGGCTCTGTGCAACTTTGCTAATAACATGGTAGAACACAACTCCCAAATACCCCAGTGAAAAAGAAATTGGCAGAGCTGGCTCTGAGATCAAAGGGTGACTGAAGGAGCAAGAAGGATAAATAACACAGACATGGCCAGCAGTGGACGAAAGGGGAACTTCCAAATAAAATGCTTTTGAGTTGGGGCTTTTTTTTTACCTCAGGTGAAATATGGGCCCCACTGATATTAATATAGCAGAGATCAAAGTGACTGAAGTGAATCCAAGGTCTCAGACTTTGCCCTCCTGGATATTGAGACACCTCTCTGAGTGGAGGGCAGATGGATGAGATCCCTTCCCCATCCTTGTGCAGCCCTCTTGATGAGAGTTTAGACCCTGGCAACCCTCCTCAAATTGAGTGGTAATTTGCTGTGAATGTACTTTATAGGCATTGAAAGGCTTCACTGAACAGGAAAGATAGCAGAACTTGGCCTGAAGAAATAAATATTTCAGGGTAACAGTAGCTACAGGCCAAAGTTTGCAAACCTCATTGTCACAATAAAGAGTTCAGGAGCTTCTGCTCCTTGCACTGACTCTGCTGGCGTCTGATTCCACCCCGGGGAGCACTAAAGATTCTTATCAAGCTCTTTTTAATAAGCTCCAGATGGCAAAAGCCCAAATGCCTACATCACTGTTCAAGCCTCAAATGCTGCAAGAAGGATACAACTCCAGGTTTGGGATCATGAGCGCTTGAATTTTTTTCTTTCCTTGGGAAGATTTGCTCTAATGTGTTTGATATCATCAAGGTTGTGATAGCCATGGAATGGACAATACCTAATCTCATGACATGCACATTTCACCCCACACAAACTCCCAGAACTTCACATGGAGCCCTCCTGGGTTTGTGTGGGCAGAGGGGCAGCTAGTCCATGACTGCAGTGCTAATCAGTGCATATTCCATGGCTCCCAGATGAAAAAGCCTGGGTTCACAGGCAAATCAGAAATGCCTGGCATGGACCCCTGCTTGGGTGGGCTTCTTCTGAAATAGTTGCAGGGGAGGGATCAGATCTTCATTCCACTCCCTGCTCAGGACACTTCCCAGCTGGAGCTGAGATCCCAACCACCAAAGGGAGGAAGGTCAAACACAACAGCTTTCCTTTTGCCCCTGTGTATCTCATTTCTTCCCCCACTGTCATTCTAATACCAACCTTTCTTCTGTGCTTGAAATTGAGACAGCATATCTCTTAAGTATTGAATTGTTAGTTTACCTAGTGCAGCAAATGTGTCTCTCAAATCTGCTTTGTCAATAAAGCCATCCCTGTTCTGATCCATGATGGTAAAAGCCTGTGGGAAGGAAAAGGAACAGGAATTGCCATTTCCATTGCACAGAACAGTGCTCCAGTCACACACATCAGTCCATGGGAGGATGATATTCATGCTGTAAAAAGGAATATTTAACTTCCTTTGATTCCTCCACATCATTGCACTTTCCTCACTTTCAACACATTACTGTATCTTGGCAAGGGGCTTAATTAAACCCACCCAAACTTCTTCTTACTAAATTAATGCTCAGTGCAGCGTGCATTGGGCTGAAGCCAATGCTGGCAGCTCCAGCCATTCAGCCCTTAACCCATAAAAGTTTGAATTAGGGAGGCTTTAGTCAGGGTAGATTTAGCCAGAGTTTGCTCTGTGTTTTTACCTTCCCCATACTCCATTCTTTGAACGAGGCTGAAATGTTTCTGTAAAACATTTCATTTCTGTGGATATCTCTCTGCTATCAACCTGAAGTCGATTCCTCCTGAGCCTTAGAATGATCCATCACACAGAGATAGCTGAGCTTTCAAAAGTACAGAGAAATGTAAGTTCCGTAAGATTGTTTATTCAAAGTTTTTTCCCCTTTCCAATACACTGCATCTTTGAGACTGTGCTGTGTGCTCTGACTGACACTGATGTGCTGACCTTAAATACCCTTGTCAGGCAAAATTTAACTTTTGATAGATAAAAACACTTGTTTTTATTTTTATTTTCAGCCAACACAGACTTGGTGTGCTCTAACCACTGTTTACCAAGCCAGCTAACTGCTCATCTATCTGTTTACCCATTTGTGTGTCCATCTCTTGGCTGCCATCACACTCATAATGTTTCATTGATTTGGAAAGATTTTAATGACCTGAAATTCCCCTGGTCATGCCATGGGGAATATGAGTTGATCCTGGCATGACTCTGAAGCTGGTTATCTGTCTGACAGGCACATCAATATGGGACAGTATCTTTGCAATGGCCAGGAATTATTCTTTCTTCAGACAGAGCTCCCCTGAGATTGCAGTAACTTGCAGAGTTTTAAAGTCTGCTGCCCTACAGAGTGCATTTCTTCCCATGAACAAGTTATCTCCACAAATCTTCAGGTATTTTCTCCTCCAGTTTCTTGCAAAGCCTCACTGCTCACAGCCCAGTTTGCCCATGAGGCTCCATTCAGTATTATGTTCATAATCTTATATTTACCTTCCAATCAATCCCCTTACAAAAAATTAAGCCCAACTCTTTGGAGATGTTTTGCCCTTGCTTTAAATGGTGATTCCCCATAATTCAGAAGCAAAAGGGAAAGAAGATATGAAGAGCAAAGCCAAACCCAGGCAGCTCACAGGAGACAGGAAGAGCATCAGGCACTGTAATGGATGAATTTTAAATAACATAACAGCAATGCTGAAACATTTGCTGATGAGCTGGTTGAAATCTCTAGATAAAAATATTCTAATCCAAACCAGGTTTTCAGAAATATGTGTCCCAGATATGCAGTTCTTAGACACAACATGGTTTTGGGTTTCACTTGACCACTCCACTGCCTCATGCTTTTGCCATTATTCTGCCACCATCCCCCTAGAAATGCTCCTGGTATTATCTTATTTAAAGAAGAACAAATAATGCCATTCTGTCCAGTTCTTTGTGCTGATCCATCTTCAAACAGTAATTCCTGGAGAAAATAAAATGGAGGTTCCTAGGATATAGAGAAGAAGTGGGAGAAGAGAGTCAAACATTCCCGTTGACTGTGAGGAAGTGATTAGTGATTCCAATTAATTTAGCTGGGTCATATCCCCAGGCCTTTCCTTGGGTTTGGTCTTGTCCATCACTGAGCTTTCCTGGTGGGAATCCTCAAGAAAAGTAAACTTGAAAGCCACGTGAAAGCACAACATGAAACAGCAGACATTTATCACACTGGAAATTGCTTTGGAGACATGAGTTAGAAAAAATGGGGAAAAAATCAGTAATTTAAAATGACAAACCAGTGCAGAATGTGATGGTCTCATGGACTCTCTAATTTGTCCCCACAGAAAAAGAGCAGAAACTCATCAAAGAGATTATCTGTGTTTTATATTCTCCAGCTTTTAGGCCACCCATCAGTTTTACCTCCTCACAGGTAACTGCTCAAAAAACTACAGTGCCTGGAACACCAAATCCCTTGGGAGCTGGAAGTTGCTTACTTCATCTCCACATGTTGTCTTGTTTTATTGGCATTTGTGGAGAAAGCTGAGGGCTCCTTGGCATTTTCATTTCTCCTTTGTGGGCAGCTTTAGAAGGGCACAGACAAATATTTTCTGTTGCTGATGTGGAACAGAGCAGGAATGAAAGCCCTGGTTCAGCCTGGCATCTCTGTTCAGGACAATACTTGAGCACATAAGACTATTCTTATTTAAAATATCACTTAACTTTAAACATGTGCTCAAGTGTTTTCCTGAATCAGGGCTGAAGTGGATGAGCTGATGCTTTTCCTTTATTTTGGGGTGGGGGCTTGGGTGCTTTTCAAATAAGTCTAGAGTGAAACAGGGGAGTGAGTGAGGGAAGTAAAGAAAGAAAGAATGAAAGAAAGAACAAACAAACACACAAGGAAAATGATCTACCAGCCAAAACCACAGAGATGATTCAGAAAACAACTGTGTGTTCTATTAAAGCAGATGGAGAATTGAATAAGGATTACAAACAAAACCTATGTTATTCATTAGCAATAACAGGAGACTATAGAGAACAGCAGAGTAGTGACCAACCTCTTTGAACTCCTGAATCTGGGTTTGTTCAAACATGGAGAAAACATTGGAACCACCTTCTATCTTCTTCTTTGCCTTTTTGGGAGCCTGTAATACAAATAAGAAGATCAAATATATATTCCTTTGTCTGTTAAGCATCCATGAAAACAAATTACATCTTCAACAGAAGGTGAAAACTACACAGTCAAGTAATACAAGAGGATTGTGCTTTGTTATTACAAGGTTTTAAAATTCAATCTTATAGACAGATAGATTTAGATATACATATGATTGAATATATACATATATATTTATTTATAAAAATTGCTGCCTTATTAACAGATTGAGGCTGTTTGACTCTCCCTGCTGTGTCCTGGGACCTGATAACTCAGACAAACCAGGACAGTTTGTCACTGTGCTGCCTTTAAAAAGTTGAGGGACCCAAAGTGTGGCCCAGCATCCTGCCTGGTGCACTGCTGGCTCCCCAAGGAGCTGCCTGTTCCTGGGGCAGGGTCACCTCCACCTCAAAGGATGCCAGGCCATGTCACACAGGGACCTCTCCCCTTCCATGCTGGCTCTGCAGAGCTCAGGGGTGACAGCCCTTGGTGTGCAGTGGTGTCACTTGAAGGTATGAGCTAGAATTCCCTGCCTGCTGTCTCAAGAAATTCCAGAATTCAGGTAAGTGCCTCCAAGGTCTCCCTCTTCCCAGTTCCCATGCTGGGACTGGCAGCCAGACTCCAAACAAGGCCCTGCATGAAGACTCAGCTCAGGAGCTGGAAAGGGAAGTTATATCATTTCCTACTCACACAGAAATGTTTGGAAATCTGCTTGGTCTGGACCAGCACTGACAGAACAGATTAATCCTTCCCAAGCAGGAACACCTTCTACTCCTGGAGCCTCTACTCCTGCACCAACCTATGGCACTGCAGTGCAATACCTTACCAGACCATGTTATTTTAATATTCAAGATAATCATCTCAAATGAAAGGGCAGGACTGCTTTTATCACCATTCTTAAGTCTGGAGGCTGAGACAGAGCAAGATTGGGGAAAGAGCTACAATGATATCTAAGAATCTAATGCTCACTAAAACTCAGTCAGAACTAGGCTTCATTAAATATCTTTGAATAAGGGCCCAACCAGCTTGCCTAAGACAATATAGTTCTTGTTCTGCAGTAAAGAATAAAATCTGTGATTCCAAAGGATTACAGAAGTGTTTTAACCACAGTGTTATCCTTACTTGGGGCAGGATAATGAGTTGCAATGCCTTTTGAGTTCCCTTCCAGACAGATTACTTTTTTCTTTATCATTTTTACTTTTAAACTTCATTATCATAGTCCCACCTGGTTCTCGTGTCACAGAAAATTAGTCTTACTTAGTTTGGGCTATTCTGCATGAAACAGAAGGCAACTTCTACTGTCTCCTTTCATCAAAATAAAAAAGCCTGTGAAAGTTCAAATTCAATACTGATTTCAAATATCCTGAGGAGCAGAGCAGCTCAAGAAAATATTCCCACTTGACTCTGTTTGAAGCATACATTGTCTGATCAATTTAATTTGCCAGGCAGATTTCTGCACTCAGCCACCCTGGTTTAGATCCCAGGATATGGAAGGGGGGAAATTAGGGCAATGTTAGACACTCTCCCACATATCCAAACTCCAGACCTGTCAAGCTCCTATCAGCTAATTCAAAGAACTAAAATTTGGAAATAGGAATGGAAATTAAGTGAAAAATATACTTGTAGTGAGGATAAAAACAAGGATAGAATGCCACCACAGGCATGGAAAAAAGAAGTTAATAAGTGGAATGTTTAATGAATGTAGAAATATTGATTTTGGAATAAACAGATTCCCTCCTCCTCCTCCTCCACATGAAATAAGTGTTATTCTGAGCAGTAATGGGCAATCTTCCACATAACGTGAGGTGCCTGGAGGAGGCTTTCAACACTTGCAGATCGAATGGAAATATTCAGAACAATCCTATGTATTTCCACGGGTTTGTTCCCTGAGGTAAAGGGGAAGCAGATGTGACCCAGGGGAGAGCCCAGCCAGCTGTGGGGGGACAGCAGGGCTGGGGGCCTGGGCAGGGCAGTGGGGCTGGTTCTGAGGGCTCCTGCAGGACACAGAACAGGCTTTGCCCTCCTCACGGGCTCTTCTGCTGCGGCCAAACACAGCATCCATGCCCAGACTGATAAATATTCCCCGTGCTAGGAAACCATCTGCATTTTTTCAGCTATCACCACAGCCATGGGCAGTGGGGTCCAGCTCTTCTAAATGCCAAACACTGGCAATTCCTCCATTATTCCTCAGTTTATTGGGTTCTCTGGGCTGTAAGGCTTCAAGCAAGGGCTATAGCTGTAAGGAAGGATCAGATAAATGCAAAAGCTGCAGCTCAATATCTATTAGAAACACACCAGCAAATCAAAAACCACCCAAAAAGCTTCTGTACATTAGTGAAGTTCTTTCCAAGGCAAAGAAGATTGAAAACTGATTATACAGGGAATAATTACTGTAGCATCACAGAATCTTAGAATGTTTTGGGTTGGGTGGGACCTTAAAAATAATTAACTTCCAGCCTAGGAGAAATACTAGAAAAATTCATCCTAACATATTCACTCACAGTTACTCTCTGGTTTGTTGTCTCCAGGGATGACAGAGGAGATCAGTGCCCAGGATGCTCAATCAATTTTTAGTTTTTCTGCTGAAGGTCTGGATATGGATCCCATTTATGACCTGCTCATAAATAAGAGGGGACTGAGACCACCAATACATTTCACAGGGGCCCATGTACAGCTGCCAGCTGGGATTGGTTTCCATCACCAGGTTCAAGCTAACTCTTGTAGCATCCACCATAGATCATCTTGGATTACCAGTTCCCTGTACTGAGAATGCAGCTTACCTGCCCTAAAAAGCCAGAAAATTCATAATCACAGAAACAACTGCACCCCAATTTTGCACAAGGTGTGGGCAGGGAGGTGCTATGAAGGGGAAGGCTGAGAGAGAAGTAGGTGGAGCAGGAACAGAACAGAGTTCATTGTTTTTCTTGTGGGCAACTTGAATTAAAAGACAGCTCTAAGAGAACAGAAAAGAATAACTCAGAATAGAACAGTTCTGTGCTGCTGTCTGACAATTCCAAACACTCCAGAATTTTTTAATGAACACATTCATGGTTCTGACTCCAGAGTCTCTCTCTGAAAGAATGACATATTAAAAGGAACATCACAGAGCTGAGCAAACATATGGCTTCTAAGATGCCAAGGATTTAGTAGGTGACCCACAGAGGAGAAAGTGGGTGACTGACACATCACTTCTGCCTGCCTTGATTTCCCAACTCTTGAAACCAAAGTGTGCCAGGCTGCACTTTGCAGAGATAGAGCAGCTCTCGTTGCAACATGTGCTGTGAGAGCGACATACAAAACGTGCCAGATGAGAAACTGAAGAGCTGAGGGTCCCCTGGGCTCGGATTCCGAGGCCTCAATAGCACAGCAGTGGGAAGAATGTTGCAACAACTGAACAAGCCTATTAATATTCCTGCCTGAGAGTATTAATCATCCCATTGTGAAGAAAACAACACTTCACTTTAGAGGAGAAACCACAGGCTTGTCGCATATCACTCATTTGTCTTTCCAGTGTTAGCACTCTTTCAATTAGCCTGGATTTTAAAGGGTCTTTTTTTGTTGTTGTTGTTTTGTTTGGTTGGTTGGTTTTGGTTTGTTTTAAGGCTTTAAATGAAGAAATGGAACCATACCAAAATCTGGTCCCAAGAAAACTCTGTTGTACCAGACATTTTCTTTGAGCTGAGTTTCCCTCACTGAGGTTCTTTATATTTCTCCTTTCTGGCAGTGTCAGGGAGCCCCAAAGAACCAGGGTGTGCAGGGACACAGGCAGGCAGAGACAATGAGTGTGTGTGGCCTTTGCCTCTCTGGATGTAAGAAAAGGGATCCATTTTTTATATGCTGCAAAGGTGGGGGGGGGTGATGTTCAAGGGAATCAGAAGAAAATTTGATTTCAGGGTGACCTAGAAGAAAAGGGGGTGGGGAATCAGTTTCTGCCTCTACATACAAAGGAGGAAGGAGATGAAAATACCTTGTTCTTACTTCATAACATGAGGCGTTGTTTGCCCTGATAAATTCATAAAGAGGTGATGCCAGAGCAGATCCATGACACTGGATTATTGCAGAGCTTTATCATCTCCACCCCTCAGTGCATTTTGCACACAACCAAGAAAAATATGGAAAACCAGGCAAGATGCAGCAGGGTGAGCAAGGTCCCTCAGTGGCTGCTCAGGGGCACACTTGTACCCTTCAGTAAGTGGGAAGTAACCAACCTCCACTTGGCATTTCCTGCAGCACAGGAACATCTTCACTGGCAGTCAGGAGAGATGGGCAGCACTCTGCCACAAAGCACAGCTTTGCTTTGGTTAGGGTTTGGTTTGGTTTGGTTTGGTTTGGTTTGGTTTGGGTTTGGTTTGGGTTGATTTGGGTTGGTTTGGGTTGGTTTGGAGAGGGTGGGGAGGTCACTCCCTTGTTTAGCCCACCATGCTCTAAGCCCCTCAGAAAATGCTCTTTGTAATTAATAATGATATAATGTGGTGTTCCTGACAGCAAAGTCAAACACACTAGCAGAAACATTTCCCTACTCAGCCACTTATTGGGTCTTCTTCTAATTTTTCTACCAGACAACTCAGTGGATGAGCAGGGAGAGAGCCCTGCAGGGAGAATCAGCAGTGGACACTGTTTAGAGCCTGATTTTGCTGTCCTGTGCCCTTGAGCGTTTATTCAGTCCTGGACAAAGTAGACATAAGATAACACCAGGTTTTTACTGTTTCACATTTTGTACTTCCTTCCTCTGCAACTACATGTACAGCTACAGAAAAGGCAGAATCATCCATCATTTTGCTCAGACTTTGTCCCCTGCTGTGATCCACTGTATGATGTCAACTCTCAGTTACTATTACTTTTTCATCCATCACACTCTCTCCTTGTTTTTCATCTACTCTGGGATCTCGGTGCTGACATTTCCTGTCTTCAAATTTCTGTTATCATCAAATACAGCTTCTGAATCAGAAGTTGCATCTCAGGCCTGGACAAGGGATTGCTGCAGCATGGGACAGGATATTTGTTGATTTTTGTCTCACAGGTTTGCTCTGCTGAGATAATTTACATTAGATCTGCACCAAACATCCCAGCTATGGATAAGCCATCGTTTTTTAGAGGGGTTTAGGTCTTTTCCATGGCAGGTGAGCAGCACAAGGCCAACCCAAGTGCATGCCTTGGAGGGAACAGTCTAGAGAAGTAAGCAACACAAACTGCTCCAAGGGCACAATTTGCATTTCAAACAGGCAGCAGCCTCAGATCATTCAAATAAACCATGTTATCAGAAGTGAGAAAGAGAAGATCTTTTTATTACCTGCTCTGCAGTCACAAACAGACCCCTCCCTGCTCATCCCCACTCCTTTTTGTGTGCAGTCCCAGCCTGCACACACCCAAACAGACACACCTTTGATCCCTGCTAGATACAGAAATCCGCTGGCCTGCAGCGTCCTGCTTCACACTCTGGACACTCCAGCTTCTCCTCCTCCTCACAGAAACCCTTCCCTGCCACAGGCTCCTTCTCCTCCTGCAGACACACAGAGGGAAGGCTTCATCTCCCAAACTCATCCCAGAGCAGCAGAGCCTCCCCAGCCTCTCCAGCCACAGGCTCCTCCACCTCGATGACCCCAAATTCAACAAATGGGCCAAGGCCCAATAGATAGGCCAAAATTTAATAGATGGGCCAAAATCCAACAGCTGGGCCAAAGTTCAACAGATGGGCCAAAATTTAATTGATGGGCCAAAATCCAACAGCTGCTTTTGCCAACCTGGCAAATCTTCTTCATGTGAACAGATGCCTGTGTGTACACATGGGGCTGTCACACACATGAACAGACACATGGACACACACACATGGACACACAGTCACACACACACGGACACACAAACACATATGGGGACACACACACACACACGTATGGACAAACAGACACACAGTCACACACACATGGACACACACATGGACACACACACACACTGACACACACGCACAGGGACATGGACACACACATGGACACTCCTAGGGCTGTCACACACAC